TAATACCTACCTAAAAACACTTAACACAACTAAAATGCATCTACAAAGGATATTCACAAAACTTTGCATTAAATTGATAACTAAGATAATTCAGGATGCATCAATAAAATGATGCAGGGGATCATTTATCCCTTTTTATTCCATACGGACTGCCCAAAATTTCGAGTTGGATATAACAGATTTTTTTCAGTTCTCAAACTAGAAACAGGAATGCAGTGGAAGTCAACAGAGATTCACCAGTGTAAAACTGTCAGCAGATCAGATTTAGACACAGAATTTCAGTCTTTCATTCAGTTTCCTTGATTTGGTAGCTCTGATTCTGACCATAGTCATCTGTTTAGACACAGTTCTGTTAACTACCGGCCAAGATCAGTTAGCCATTCCACTAAAAACCTGTTTAACAATATGATCATAGCGTTTATGCTCATTTTAAATAAAGTAAGATGATGAAATCAAGAAAGGAATGTATGAGAGGAGTACTGGTAATAACTTCTTGACAGTGATACATTACATTCTGTTGGGAAGCAGTGAAAGATAAAGCTCTGCTAGACGTAAAGCCAAGTCAGGCTGTGCACTAGAAAAATATACTCAGTGGAGCAACGTTAGCCTGGCTTTAGAGGGACCTAATAACCTTTTCAGATGCAAGATTATTGAGAAGACAAAGCCAGGCTCTTCATGGTGGTGCATGGTGGGAGGACAAGAAAGAACCAGCATAGATTGAAACAAGTGAGGATCAGCCTGGATGTAAAGAAAAGCTTTTTCACAAAAAGAAGAGTCAAAGAGTGAAACAGGTTGCTCAGAAAGACTGTGCAATTCCAATCCTTGGCGTTTTTCAAGACTAGACTGGATAAAGCCCTCAGCAACATGGCCTGGGGCAGGCTTTGAGCAGGTGGTGAAAAAGAGACCTCCTGAGGTCCCTTCCAACCTGAATTAGCCTGTGATCCTATGAGGGACTAGATGACTTATGAGGCCCATCTTCAGTTGAATATACATGATTCCAGGATTTTACAATTTAGGAAAATATTTGTAAATATTCATGCTCTCAGAATAAATCCTGAAGCT